CCCCAAAACCCCAAAACCCCAAAACCCCAGTTGACTGAAATTCCATCAATTTATTAATAAAGTTAGCTTAAATTAAATAAAATAAGTCTAATGGCTTACAGTACAAATAACATTCCCTAACTAATAAATAAAATCTAGTATTTTCATGGGCAAACAGATAAATCTCCTCTAAAAAATGTACCTTAAAATAAATTTATATTGCACTAAAACATGGGATCTGTAAATCTTTAATAATTGCCAAAAGAAAGCATTTCTCATTAGAAAGAAACTAGGAATCACGCTTGATACAAATCTCATGAGAAGAATAACAATAATGATGGCAGGATGATATTTAAGATTCCTCAGACAAGGCAAAAGAGAACTTTTGCTAGAAATGATTTCATAGGAAACAATTACAATGAATTGCTCAGAAATTAATAGGAAGCGATGAATCATCTAAATGATCCAAATTTATACACAAATAATAATCAGATGCAAAATCAGAATTAGCATCCAGCCTCGTAGTAAAAGTAATTATTGCCTCTCAACTTAAAAGAATAAAATCTCTATCAAAAAATGAATCTTATGAATCAAAAGTTGTAAAGCCAATATAACTTATCGTAATAAGAGTAAGTATAGTAGTAGCAATTATTAATGAATAGTATAATAGCCTCTAATGCTGTAAATCCATATTAAAACTCTATTTTAGAGTAAGATAATTAGAAGTACTATCTGCCATTAGTTGATGAGCACCAAAATACTTCTTTGTATAAGGATGCTTAATAAAGGATATTTCATGAGAATTATGGCAAAAATAAGCCTCTCTCAGATATTCCAAGAAGTATTAGAATTCGGAATTAGTAAGTATTTCAACAGCAAGTTGCTGAATAGGATTAAGGACACATTGATAAAAATGCTTATCTATTTCAATAGCTAAATAACAAATAAACACCCAATATCTCTGCTCTTGATCATTTATAACAGCACTCTACAGATAGTAGATTTAGAGATCCAAGATAAAGCGAAAAGTCTCTTAAGCCAAATATATCTTATGGTTAAATTGGGAAAATTTCACCTTTTTCGCATTAAAGAGACAATGATATTTTCATAGATCCCTATACAAATCATTATAACTCAAGAGAATTAAATACCAACTATGATAAAGATTTAGGGAACACCAAGAAGAGTTTAATGAATACTGTCAGCAACGTAACATTACTAAATGAGAGCAAATAGAATCTTAATTTAAGTGATATATCTCAAATCTAATATAGTGTAGATGGTGCAACTGCCTAGCCTTTCACGACGATTAATAATTAAAACCTATAACATTCCTTAACTCGTCCTAATCACGCAAAACTTCCTTCTTAACAGAGAAAGACCAGACGTTTTAACTTGCTAAACTCAACAGCAGATATGATCTCTAGAGAATTTATGAAATAATAGCATTCCTTAAATGATTCTCGAGAGTAATTAGGCCAGCGACATGGTTCGTTACTAATTGAAGATTAGAGAAATTCACTTCATCCACATTTGAGCAATCAATTAGATAGATAATCTGTAGTATGCAAAAGTAATTTTAACACAAATCTAGATGATAGCTAAATAAGTAGCAATCATTTTGTAGTCAGGAATCCCTTAGAGAAAAATATAGATAATTAGAAGAGATAAAGGATAATACCGAGAATAGATTAAGCCGCTATGAATCCCCGAGAGTTAAAGTACGGGGGACCTAAATACTTGCCTACTAATAGAGATTATGGAAATTTCCCTAACTTTAACGCCAGCACAAATATGAATTTGTTATAACTAAATTAGACCTAGTAGTTGTGATTATTAGGCTGATTATCAGAATTTAATTAATCTAATGTTGATTTTTAATATTAAATTCAGCAATATTTACTCTAGGGGTTTTGGGGTTTTGGGG